TTTCTTGTTCCTTTCACTGCCAGATCTTTATTAGAAAGTGCTAAAACTTCAACAACGGAAAATATATTTTATTTATTAGAAAAAATTACCATAATATTTTTTTCACAGAGTCTCTGAAAATCATAGTTTTGGCAAGTCTCGGCGTACAATCATCCTCCTCATCCTCATGTCCCTTAGTCCTTGGACCGTTGGGGCTCCACAGATGACATGTAAACATCCTCCTCCATTCCTCTTTGTCTTCAGCACTATGCACTGCATCAACCAGTGTTAGTCCTGTCCACTCTTTGATGTTATTCTCCCATCTTTTTCTTTGTCTTCCTCTTCTTCTCCCTCCTCTAGTGGTGCCCTGCAATATTTCTTTGACAAGCCCTTGTTTCCTTGTTACGTGGCCGTACCATTGTATTTTGCGTTTTTTCACAGTGACCAGTAGGTCATCGTACTCCCCAATTGCCTGACGAACCTTTTCTTTCGCTGTATCATTGGAGATATGGTCCCTATAGCAGATGCTTAAAATGCGTCTGAAGCATCTCATCTCCATCGCCTTTATTTTCCTTTCAAGATCGGCTGTTAAAGTCCAGGCTTCGCAGGCATACAGGAAAATTTTGGTGCTGGGAGCTATATTTTTGTCATTCCATATTTTCTTGAGCTTTTTTAGTGCTGTTGTAGTCTGCGCAATCCTGGACATCAGTTCGGGCTTGCAGCCTTCTTCTGAGACTATTGTTCCTAGGTATTTGAAGCGGGCGACAGTCTCTAATCTTTTCTCCCCGACCTTAATTTCAGTGGTGATGCCTGCGGTATTGTTTGTCATCAATTTTGTCTTTTCGCCACTGATTAGCATGTTATAAAAATCATTAATAACATCTAAGAATAGTAGCCTACATTATATGCCAAAATCGTAAGAGTTAAAAGGTCTGATGCAATAATCCCCGCCACCCCACACACACATGTGAATTATCAATTATGTGCCAGCCTTCTAGCACACCTAAATTAGGAAAATAAAGTACTGTAAAGTAAAGTAAAGGGTAAAGTAAAAGTGGTAAAGTAAAGCAACAATATAAAAACATGTGGTAAGGTAATCCCTTATTTAAGTTATTATTACTAATTACCCTTTTATTAGCCTTAATTATTAAAATTAAGGTTTAAGTACTTAAGTTTAAGGCTTAAGAGTTAAGAGTAAAGGCTAAAGGCAATGAAATTTAAGCGCGATTAATTATTTCAAGTGATATAAAATTAAAACTTCCTCTTTACCAGATGGAACTAAAGGCCTAAAATAGCGTCTTTTTGTTCATGTACAAAAACCATTTAACAAAATTGAACAAGATAAAAAAAGAAAGTAGCCTACACTTCATGAATCTTATGACATTTACGACGCCATTGTGGGAAAACAATTAGCACTCTTCTGTCTTCAAAGATACGTTATAAATAAAAGTTGCCCAATTGGATATATTTAGATTTAAATAATTTTTTTAAAAAAAAATAGATCTATCTACTTAGTCTGATATTTCTTTCTAGCCCACTGGATCCGTGCACAGCAATGTAAAGGTGGTATTCCGCAAGGGACCTCAATATCAGGGGGCGCATTCACCCAGGGCGCTGCTTTTCATTTGCACGGTTATGCATCCATTACAGAAGTAACGCGGCTAGAATTTTGAGGGTGGGGGTTATGTGGGAAATGTTTGTTAAAACTTTAAATAAAATTGTCCATTTCCTTTCTTAAAATTTGTGACATTTTCGATTTCTTTCTCAATAAATAGCTGGTGATTTACTAAGACTAAGAGGCAAAAAGCGGGAAAGTAATGAAACATACGTCAGTACCGAACTAAACACCATTGCAAACAGATGACTAACAAAGCAACTTGGTTCTATCCAGATACATAAAATCACTAACACTGCCTCTCATTTTACTCCCCACAAACCAGAGTCAACTTAGGTGGCATCTAAATAATTAAGTTCCATCTATCAAATTAGAGCTGACCAACCCAGACCATTTAAATAGCTTATTTGCCTACTATGACTCACAATTGTCGAGAAAAAGTCAATCCACTTGCATAGGAAGAGGGCTGTGAAGGGGTTGGTCCACACAGGTGCCTGTGGAGGGGGTCGTCCACACAGGTGCCTGTGGAGGGGGTCGTCCACACAGGTGCCATTTTTTTTTTTTTTTAATTTATGAGGGGCGGCATTTTCGGCGAGCTGAAGAGTTTTTTTTTTTTTTTTTTTAATTTATGGGGGGCGGCATTTTGGGGGGGCTGAAGAGTTTTTTTTTTTTTTTTTTTTAAACTTAGTGGTAGTAGATGGCACAACTGTCTAGTGAACATATCGCAACATAATCCCTGGTCCGCTCGTAACGTTTACCAGATCTGCTCATGATGAGGACACGTGACACATCACCCAACGCTTGGACATTGGTCGCTCTCTGTTGTTGGTGGAATTCTATTACGTAGCCGAGTCTCTCGCTTCGCACCTTTTTTGCCCATGCGCCTGGTTTCCCTGGTCTGGTCATTCTCTGATACACTTAAGTAATACGTCGGCATAGCTAAAGTGACGTGGCCTCCACGGCCTTGCCATGTTTCTGTCTAGTAAGGCTGTGGGCAGCAACGCAGTCGCCGCGGCTCACTCGTGTATAGGTTTACTTTAAGCAGATTTCTGATCGTTAATGCTGCATAAACTTTATGGTTTGTGTCCGCTGCGGTGGCCGCGCAAATGAACGCAGGACAAGTAAGCCCAAAACTCACCATAACACATCCAAACACAGGATTAGTGAAACACCGGACAAGTTAACACGCAGAAAAGTGAATACCGGTATATAGAACATAGACAGATGAACACAACAACTGGGTTTGAAAAGGCCTTGATGAGATAATCGTCATTCTTGTCTTGTTCTTGTAAATTTATTTTCACTGCTAATTCGCAATGATTGGTTCCGAAAGATTTTCAGCTACTTTTATAAATATGTAAATGTTTTTAATGTGCTGAAAATTATTTTGTTTAAATGTGTAAATAACCATTTTTATTACCGGTATATTTCTTGGGCAGATTTTTGTTTTCTAAACTGAGTCTATTGATTTCTTATTAAAAACATTAACATGTTCTACAATAATGTTTAAAATTTATACAAATATCTAGAAAATTCTTATCTTTTGTGATAATTTCACAATGATATGCTTTAAATTTCATTTTATTTGACTCCTATTATATTTCTAATATTGCGTAATTGAATTTTTTTCTCTTTTTAAAGTGGTCCACTTATAATGTTCCATTTATCTCTGACGTCAAATGTATTATGAGGAAAAGAATTATTACCACATGGTTCAAAATTTGCAAGGTTTTTTCTATTATATTCTCTACATAATGATTGATGTTTTTTTTTATTACATATCTCATAAACACAATTCCGAAGTTTTCATGATCTTATTATTTTTATTAGGCTCGAGTCTAGTGGGTTTTTGGGAAAATGCATTCAATATTCTATCAATTATATCTATGTACTTAGTTTGTTTTTGTTTTTTTTAAATTAACGAGTGGAATGTGTTCATGATGTACCTATACATCCAATGTTTTTCAAGTAACCTATTTTTTTTTTTTAAATAAGCATTTGTCAGTGTCCTTTTCAGCTTTTATCGATAATATAGCATTTTCTTTTTTTTTTCTTTCTGACGTCAATTGATTAATTCAGGAGGAATAGTTTTGGAACTACGTAATTGAAAATTTGCATGCTTATTTATATTGACATTCTCTACTTAACGATGGATTGTTTTTAAACAAATATCTCAAAGGAAAATTTTTTAGAATTTTTGTATTTATGTATTAGGTATTTTTTGTATTAGGTTCGTGTGTTAATTTTTTTCTATCTTTTCTGTCTTAGTTTTCTAATTGTTTTTTAATTTATGATTGGTATATGTACTTGGTGTATGCATCCTAAATCGTTCATGCAGCCCTCAAATTAAAAAAAAAACCACAATTTTATACTTTTTTTTTCATTTTTCTCAATTTTCCGAATTTTTTAGGAACGCCAAATGATTCGGGAGGAAAAGTATTCTAGCTACCGCCTTCAAACATTGCATGCTTCTTTTTATTGATATTCTTTACAAAATTCAAGAGGCTTTTTTTTATAATTAATACCTGGTAGGCCTATATCCAACTAGAAAAGTTTTTTAACATTTTTAGATTTGCTACCCCTGAAGAGTTCTCGAATATTTATGTGACCCCCCACATACATGCCGTTTGTAACACTTCCAATAACTGCTGTGTAGTAAGCTTCTTTAAACTTTTTGTCAATGTTATTCTTAATGTGTATGCCAAGTTTCATTTACAATACAGTACAATAAGTTACAATACAATGCAATACAATTTTGTCTTTATTCATTTTGCGTAAAAGTCAAAATTGGTTTTAAAAAAATCATTTTTTTGCAATAAAAGTCACAATAAATTTTTAAAAAATAAACTTAAGTGGATTTTTGTCTTTCTGTTGTGTATGGTTTGTATATACTATATTTTTTTCAATGGCTCTATTTATTTAGGTTATCAGTAGCCTATTTTATTTTCAATGTGGCATGATCACATATATTTGCTCCCACTCAATCATTACATCTGTACTTAATGAAGAAATGATACAAGCAATAGTTAACTGTACGGGTACCAACAAGGAAGGTGAGAAAAAGTAGACAAATGGCAAAGGATTGATGTGACTGTGACCTAAATGAATGAGTTTATTGGCTGCCTACTCCATACTGGCCACTAATTTATTTTATGGATTACTTGAGTACACAACTCAAATAACTAACAACCAAACAAAAATGTTCTCAAGTCAGTTAAGGTGTTTTTTTTTTCTTTCTATTAAATTTTAAATTATGTACCAGTGTGTTAGACCCAGTAGACCCGGGTACCTATAGTTAATAGTTGCAGCCATAAATTTACGTGATATGATACAGGAGTAATAACTCTGACAACAAAATCAGCATTGAGAGTGGCCTTTCAATGTCACTATGGGGATGTCTATAAATGGCGACTTTCTAGGCAGTTATGAAAACACTACATTACAGTGTATTATGAGTTTGAAGTGCATAAATAAATGCATATGCTTCATTTATGTTATCAATTTTGGTATTATTTTTCACTATGGTATCAAATAAGCTTAGATTTAAATATATGTGATAAATAATAGGGAAGCGTTATGCTAAGCATCGCGGCAGACTGAAATTTTCGTATAAAGTATAAGGCAGGGCGAGCGTTATCGGCAGACCGAAATTTACATATAATAAAATGCAGAGCATTATCGAAAGACAGAAATGTTGACATAATTATGTAAGTTTCTAGAAATAATTAGAACTAGGATCATATTGAAATTCCAAGCCCGGGGTGGTGGGTGGTTAGTTTTAAGTAGTGTTGATATTGATATATGAATATGTATCTTTAATTTTAATGAGCATGGCTCAAACACATTTCAAAACTGAAGCTATGCACAAATTTAAAAAAAAACATTTTAATAGGCCTAACCATTTACTTTTAAGCTTAGAGCAGCAGGCCGCTATCCAAACCTTTTACTGTTTTATTGTTGCCCCCCACAATGGCCACGGCCACAATGCTTCCAACGGCAATTTTTTAAATTCATTGTATTAATGTAAATAAATTTTGGAATATTTGAACCCTTTAGTTGTATTGAATTTCTTAAAGGGCCTACTATATGAAATTAAAGAAAGCTGTTGCACATTAGATTTGGCTGAACTACAGTGACAAGAAAACTATGGCCTAACTATCTATCATTATGTCACAGAATAATATAGGCCTAATAATATAATGCCATATTATGTTAATTCGTTAAAAAATATTTTAGGCAATTCATTGTGCCTACATCTGCTCTGTTAGGGTCTATTCAACCTATACAGTGTTACTAATATATTCAGTCAATCCTCTTGGACATAACTATAATTTTCTATTGTTTCCTATGAAATATTATACTAGTATTAAGTAATAATAAAAATATGTAGCCTAAGTGAGACTGGTTCCATGGGCTCTGGAGTTTTCCTTGCCCTGTAAGGGATTGCAGAGTCAGTTACATGTTTCAATTCTTCATGTAGACTTACATTTACCCAAATTAGAGAGGTCTTAAATTGATGTTTGACTAGCCAACCAAGGGTCCCAGGTTCTAATCCTGGTGAAGGCTAAGATTTTTTCCTGGTCCTTGAAGGTATCCCTGAGTCTACCCAGCTCTGGTGGGTATCTGGCATTAGTTGGGAAAAACAAAAGTAAAGGTGGATGGCCACACACTCAGCTAATATGACATAGCTACAGAAACTACGTGAAAACTGTTTCTATCGCCCCCATGGGTAGGCCAACATAATCTGAAAGGGAACTTACTTTTCGAAGACTTGCATCATTCAAATATACCAAGGGGTTTCAAATAATTTGTTTTATGTTTAGACCCATAGTTACAACAGTAGCATGATATGAAATGACCAACAGTAATAAGAAGGATTTAAAAAAAAAAAATAATAATGATAAAAACAGACATTAACAAATAATAAGAACAAGCATTTTTTTTTTTAAAAATTGAGATACTATTTAAACTTTAACATTACAGTATCATCTTGTATTATGATTGCTTTAGTTGGATTTAAAAGTGATTAGATTAGAAAAAAAAAAATAATTTCCAGTAAGAATAACCGTTTGAAAAGAACAGATCGAGTTTTAAGGCTGGAGCTACTCACAATGTACATAAACTTTCAACAAGTTGACCACCCCATGCGCTGAGCTTTTCTTGCCAACATCGTTCTATTGCCCATTTCCAACTCCTCAGACAGAATAATTGCGACCAGCTGCGAATCTGCGCATAATGCCAAGTGTTATTGGCAGACCGCAATTTTTGAATAACGATGAGCGTTATGCGCACAGCTGTGCATATAATAATAATCACTTCGTAAATAATAATTATTAATAAGACTAGACCGTCTAGGCCTATTTAATTTGAAATTGAAGTCTTTGTAAAAACAATAATATTGGACCAGGTTATTTTTTTTAAATTCTGTAAATAGGACTGAGTGAGTGACTCTAATTAAGAAGACTGAGTGAGTGAATGTGATTACTAAGACTTAATAATCATAATAATAATAAGTGGTCTTATATAGCGCGGTACCCCAGCCTAGGGCTCACTTAGTGAGTGAATGTGATTAATAAGACTGAGTGAGTGAATGGGATTACTAAGACTTAGTGAATGTGATTTCTCAGACTGAGAGAGTGAATGTGATTAATTAGACTGAGTGCCGAGTGAGTGAATGTGATTAATAAGACTGAGTGAGTAATTCTGATTAATAAGTTAATAAGACCGAGTATTAAGTGAATCACTAGCTTACTTGCCAAGTAATAGTGATATTTACCTTTCTTTTGTGGGTTATAAAATTAATATTAAAATATTTTTTTTCTCTATGATGAGAACTAGTAGCAAGTTTGCCAAATAATAGGCCTATGTTTTCTTTGACAAGGCTCACAAATTATTATCAATTCTATGATTTCTATGAGAACTAGGAACAAGGTTGCCAACTCAAAGAACTAATTCAAATATTACAAATCTTCTTAATATTTATGGACAAATTAAAAATAAACTAGGAAGCTTAAAAAAAAATTTTAATATGTTAATTTGAAATATACACCTAATTTTTTATTATGACTATATCATTATATTATGCTTGTATTTCTAAACCTTATATGTAACCATGACTTTTGAGCCTATTTAAAACTTTATTGCAGCATTTGCATCAGTGTTAAATGTTGAATTTCTCCTGATTATGATCATACAGTGACATAGGACCTACAAAGAAAATAAAATCAAGCATAAAGAAATCACAAACAATGCGTTATCCCATTTTTACTTCAAAAAATATTTATCCATTCTTAATTTTATTTATGGACATCCTAAAATTCTGACAGATTTTTATGAACAAATCATTTTAGGTTAATTTTTTACAAAACTCTCCTTAAATTTACAAACAATTGGCAAACCTGACTAGGAGTTTAATTATTATATTTTTCTAAATCTAATAATTTCAACTTTTTTGATCGGTCAATTTAAGAAACCACATGTATTTGTCTAAAATTATGGAAGCATGTGCATCATCCAACATTTCGTAAACATGAAATTGATATATTTGCTTTCCTAAATCGCATGTAAAACATAATAAATTTCACTCATTTCAAAAAAGATTTTCTCTTTTTAGTGGCACCTACTTATCTTAGTGGCTAGGCTTCTACTACCACACCATGGTCAGCATACCAGATTGGGCTAGGTTCACTCAATTGTCAGATAATAAGCAACATAATGCACAACATCTTTTAAATAAGTTCTATAAACAGAAGGAGACTGAAGTCATTAAACAGGCTGAGGAATATGGGTAAGACATTGATAAGATATTAAATTAAAATATTTTAAAACTTCATTTATCATTTATATGCGAAAACAGGGGTCTTCAACCTATAGCCCACTGGCCAGGTCCAGTCCACCAATGGTCCTTAACCCGGTCTACCAGGCCAGAATAAAGTTACCGGGGTAGCAGTGGCCAATATGGAACTGGATGTTTATCATCTCATTAGCCAAATTTTACTTTGAAATTCTATCAAGCTTATGTTGATCACAGTTTTACTTCACAATATTTTATTATTTTGGCCAGGATTTTGTGTTCCACTTCAAATAAATGTGTGCAGTGTGCAAAGGATTCTTTCATAAATATATTCAGGCCGCCAACAGTGTTTGAAGAATACTGCTCTTGCCCCCCAAATTGTTTTAGGACACAGTTCTGACCCCCCATTTCAAAACATTTGAGACTCCTGTACTAGAAAGTATGCTATAACTTAGTATAACACTGAATGACCTAATTTAACTTGAGTTTGAATGTGAATTTTAGCAGGCCATGGAGGGAAAACAACGAACCCTCTCATCATTTGTAACTTTATGTGGAATGATTGTCAAAACTGTATTTTACATTGTCCTTTAAAATGATACCAGAACAGAAGAAATGTCTTTTCCCATCATCCTTTGTATTTTAATTTTGCTATCAGCCTTGTTCCTAGCTATCTGAAAGCGTTAGATGTTGGTGATAACTAAAGAAATTTTTCATTAAAAAAATTTTTTTTTGGCTCTTAGTGCCATCTTTAAAATTATGCTAGTTTCAGAAGCATGGCTCCTTCTTCCTTAGACAATTCATTACCTGTTGCTTTCATTGAATAAAAGAACTTTCGCTGTAACCATCAACATGCTTTATAATTACAGATATTTCTTCCATCCAACCAAAGAAGCATTATTTGCACACTGTGAGAATCAGAACCCACAGCGAAAAGATATAGACACGTTTAAACTTGTTTGTCTCACTGGTGTCCACTTAAGATCATTAGGAGATGTTGGAGTGTGCTCGAATCTCACGATATGCTTGCTTGCTAATAACTTCATAGCAAAGTTTGATTCCTTACGAAACTGTAGGCAACTCATCAAGTTAGATCTTCATTCCAATCAGGTACGACAAGGTATTTTAAAACTGTTATGCTAATTTTTTTGTATTAATTGCTGCATTTGTCAGGAAAAAAAACTTAACTAAATATTTTAATTATTCAACACAAGCAGAATAATTTAAAACGCATGTCATGCTTGTTTTTTAAATATGTAAAATTTTTAAAAATGCCAAAAAATCTTTGAATTGTTACACCTACACATGGAAAGTCTCAAATCAGTTTTTTGGGTACAATTATTATTTTAAATTATGGATACCTTAGTTTTTTAAAAAAGATACCAATTCCTGTTGATGAATGTCTATTTCAATTTTGTTTCAGTCATTTTTAATCAATATAAGATATCTACATCCTGGAGAGCTAAAAATTTAATCTAATTTTACTCCTGACAAATGTTTTAATATGTGAACTCTCAAATCCAAAAGAATTTCAAATTTTATGTTTAGGAATTTAAAACAGAAAAGGTAGAGAAAGTTTGTTAATTTTTCAATGTATGGGCTTGTTGATGACCAATTAATGACATACATCTTGACAGGTGTCATCTATACCTGGCTCATCATTCTGGAGTGTTCTCCGCAAGCTGCACACTCTCTACCTTCATGATAATCCTTTAGGACATTTTGAAACACTGCAAATCTTAGGCTCATCACCATGTCTTTCAATTCTGACACTTCATGATACACCATTATCCTTAAAGAAAAACTACAGGTGACCTAGAAATAATGGATCCTTAAAATATGATAGTGTTGTGGTAGTAAAGCATGATACTTTTATGATTAGAAAAAATTGATACATATTTCACATTTGGCTTTATTACAAGAATTGATTTGATTTTTACATCAAAATATTTGGTATTAGTTGTTAGATGAAATATATTTGGTATTAGTTGTTAGATGAAATATATTTGGTATTAGTTGTTAGATGAATATATTTGGTATTAGTTGTTAGATGAAATATATTTGGTATTAGTTGTTAGATGGAAGATATTAGGTATTAGTTTTTAGATGGAAGATATTTGGTATTAGTTGTTAGATGAAATATATTTGGTATTAATTGTTAGATGAAAGATATTTGGTATTATCAGTTAGGGAAAAGATATCTGGTATTATTTGTTAGATGATTATTTGATATTCACTTATTATTATGACAACTGTATGCTGTGGAGATTACTAAATAATGATAATGATCTTAATTTTTCCTTCTGTCAGGGGATTATGTGGAAGAAGAGAGAAATCATTTTATCAGTATTTTATTCACTGTAGAATCTTTATGGAACACTTGTTCAGTGTTTCAGAAGAATATTTCTAGATCTATAATTAACATATACCACCAAAGGTAATGGTGATGAAATTGTAATCTGTTTTTTTGTGGCTAATTTCTTTTTCTAGGCACCATGTTGTTAATAGCATCTTGACATTGAAAGCCCTGGATCACCATGTCATATCTGATGAAGAGATCATAGAAGATGCTGTGTTTAGTGGAAGGTTCACGTCATTGGGCCCTTCATTCAAGATAGACTTGTGTCCTGAAACACCTCAAGTAATTTACCTGCAAAAGTATTGTGCCCTAAGTTTTCAAGCTTTCTTACTTTACAACGCATTACTAACATAAAATTATACCATGCCCTATTCAAATTTTATCAGTTAAAAGCGACTGACAAATTGAGGAGTAGCATCAAAGCAAATTGCTATATTACTAGATAAGATAAGTTTTTTTTATTGATCCAAACAATTGGAAATGTTTTATGATTAAATTTTAAGCATTCATTTTCAGCACAAAAGTAAATAGGCTATGTATTTTAACCAAGACAATATTTTACAATTATGACAATTTAAACAGAACACATCAAAGTATTTCTCTAGAGTAGAAATCAGCCATGAATGAACTCCTATTTTGACAATAATGACTTAATTAGTGATCATTTACATTTGGTAACTGATAGGGGAACATGCTGGTAAATTTTTACCGACTGGGGAAAAAAAAGGATTTTTTATATATTTCAGTGCTAACTTTAAGAGAGAGAATTTTCCCAAATTGAGCTGATCTTAGGTATCTGTGGTGAAATGGGTGGGATGTATCATCCAAATTTTTTTAAAGAGTTGAAACTGCGTTTTTCTTCAAATAGTTCCTCTGTTGATATTAAGATGAATATAATTATGTGTCTTATAAAAATCTATAGATAAATGGCTCCCAAAAAACTTAGTTTAGCATCTAACGGTACCATACATTAAATCTGATGTATCTTATCTTTCTGGTGTGTACTGTGACATTCCTGTCAAAAGCTGCTCGCCTAATAATTTAGAGAGTGCACACTTTTTCACTTGATGGTTTTGAGTCAAATGCAATTTTATTTATATGTTTAATTATTTTTATTTCTTAAAAGCCTACATACTTAGTGCATACCCTTGTGAACATCTAGTCTCTTCAGATGCATCTTCAGTTCTAGTGAAACTATCAGATGCATCTTCAGTTCTAGTGAAACTATCAGATGCATCTCCAGTTCTAGTGAAACTATCAGATGCATCTCCAGTTCTAGTGAAACTATCAGATGCATCTTAGTTTTAGTGAAACAATCGTAATTAATATATCTTTTTAATTCATTCATGTTCAGGACACAACATTCAGCCTTGAAATGGCCACCTTCAGGGCTGTGATTTCAAAAGTCAACACAATTTTAGCGAAACACTCCCCAGTTCTTATTGTACAGCGATACCTGCGGGGATACCTGACCAGGAGAAGGTGAGCACACAGCCTCACTCTTTTTGTTTAGTTACTTTATTTCAGGGTTCAGGAATAGTCACTGTTTACCAGGAGCTGGAGAAAAAGGCATATGGAGGGGATAGCAGAGGGAGTGGTTCATCCCCAGGCTGCACTTTTTTTTTTTATTGTGGGGCTACATTTTCTGTCGACTGCAGAGTTTTGTTCATGAAAAGTGGGTGCAAAATTATTGGCCTGCCCCCGAGTTGCCCTACCCTAGCTATGCCACTTGCTGGAGATACCGGGTATACTTCTGCCATTTTATAATATAATTCACTCAAATCAGAAATGGAAGCTGTGGGACAATAATAGGCCTACAAACTTTGTGCATTAGCACTGCATGCTAAATGGTGCCAGATAAATAAAGTTATGTGGGCCAAATTGGATTTTACAGGTCAACAGATGTACCATGATGTTTCTCTTTCAAAGGATGGAAAAAACTTTTTGTTTTTATTTATCTTGTTCAACACATGTTATAATAAATAAGGGACTGCATTCAAGCCATGTAAATTAAATAAATGGTGTAGCAAGATATGATTAGGCTTAAAAATAAAAGACAAGATAATAAAGGAGACATTTAGGATAGAGGCCATCTTCAGCAGAGAATATAATACACTAAACAACAGATAAATTCTAGTAAAAAAAATTAAACTTATGTTTTCAAAGATCTCAATAAAGTCTAGTTAGCTCAATGTTTAGAACAGGAAGCACCTGGCACCCACTTAGCATAAATAGCTAATGCACATATATTGTATTACTGCCCCACAACTTCCATTGCAATTGTAACGGACTATGTTTTCACATGAAAACAGAGAGGTAGCATGAGTGAACAGTGAATTGTGTTGACCATGTATTTTGAGATGCAAATGTGAACTCCACGTTTTTGGAGAGTAAAATTATGTTTTTGTCAGAGCGGTTGTTTTCCACGCTTTGCTGATAATAAAGTATGAGTTGACTGAGATAAGGAGTCAGAGTTAGTCGGAGTTGAGTTAGAGTTGAGATGTAGTACAGTTGAGCTGAGTTGACAGTAGTATGAGGACGTGTCTTTCTTAATGATGGAATACTATAGATTTATATGTGAAATTACATTCATGCAAGGATTATTTATTAATATTATCAATATAAAGTGTGTTCAATAAAGTACTGTAAGTTTAACCAGGATTCAGTATTCTTATTTGCGTGCCCGGATTATAAGTGGAAGAATGAAGAAGCCTTAGTCGGCATCCTGAAATATCAACATAACATAAGTAACCATACTACTGACATAACCCACAGCATAAGAAATAAGCTCCCACGCCATGTCAGAGTAGGTGTGTTACAAATGGTGTCAGAAGCGGTGTAACGACGATGCGTTACAAATATTGTAAAGAAGTGTCAGAAATGTGTTACAGAACATTGAGTAACAATGATATATTTTAAAATTCGAGCGGAAGAATACAGCGAACGACATTACGACCGTGTATTAATCAAGTCCGAGACGAGTTCACTACACACAGAGTTAGCCGATAATTGAGGTCAGTCACGGGAGTTCAGAGTTCAGTCAACTGGTACACGGCAACTAGCAGCATAAGGAAAATTTTCAAGTTATTTACAACTGTAGCAAAGATTTACTGTAAGCCTACATATTACAAGACCAACAGAAGTAGAAGTCTGACGTTATTACAGATGAGATGTGTGTATCAAGACATCGAAAGTAAGATTTCCCCAGCATAATCTTCACTTTATACAAGCCGCACAAAGCCTAGTGCGCATTTCAAGTAAAGTAATTCTTTAATTACTCACAAGTTCAACTGAATCGGAGAGAAAGTACACTATTTTCAATTGGATTATTACACTATTACTTCTATTACGCAAGGTACTTGCATTGGATTACTGAAGCAGTTTGTGTTGTAACTTTTTCATTGGATTATATAACTTTTGCATTGGAGTATTTACCCAAGTACACTTTCTACATAGAAGGATTATCGACTACACAGAGATCATAGCGTCACAGAGGAGCAGAGGTGACCAACTACAGATTTCTTTTAAACACTTGGTATTTATGTATTTATGTGTTATGTATTATATATAATTTAAGACTTTAAAAATCTACTTATATCATACTTAATTAGATTAAGTAAATTTTTTTTCTTTTTCTGTATATTATAAGTTTAATTTTAGAGTATACTTTAGGAATATCCACGGTGTTATCTTTCCTAGGGAAGTTTTTTTATTAAAACAGTAAAGGTTTCTTCTGGCCCTATTTATAACACTGTAGGATAATTTTATGTTAGCTGTGAAGTCTAGTTTGTACATTGTCATAACTGTTGTTTTTTAGTAGATCTTGTCATATTTGTGCTATTTGTCTTGTCATTGTTATACATATTGTCAACCTACTGTCATATTTTCTACTATCTTGTTGTCCATAAACTAAACAGTACTTTTGTATTTGTTGTCTCATTTGTATTCATGTAAACGTCTACATATCTGTATTTATGTTGTGAAGTAGACAATTTAATTATTTTAAATTTTTCTTACACTTATTTATAACTTATAATTTATGTATCAACTTGCATTTGTGTATACATTCATTAACATGTAAATATATGTAATATTGTAAACTATTTTAATTAATAACTAAAGAATAAGGAGATAACTGATATACTGATACATACCAATATAATTTTGGTTACTCACATTACACATAAAAATGGCAGAGTACTTAGAATTATTAGAAGTAGGTGAGAAGCTTGGCTTGAAGCAGGAGAAATTAGCTGACTTCGTAACTCGAGAAATGGACAAACTTAGGGAAAAACAAGACAAAGACAAAGACCGAGAAGCTAGACTGTTAGAGAGAAGCGACCTTAAACAAATAGAAGAATTAAAATTAAAAGGACAAAAAGAAATTGATGAACTAAATTTAAAAGGACAAAAAGAAATAGAACAACTTAAAATAAGAGAGGAAGAGCTAAAACTAGAAAGAGCTAGAATAGAATCAGGACAGCATACACCATCAACAAGCAATAGAGAAACTAATAGCACATACAAACCTAAATTTAGGGAATTTAATGAACATAAAGAAGAAATTATTAGTTATTTGTCACAATTTGAAGGCATATGTCAGTCTTATAATTATAGAGAAGAGACTTGGGCTAATATTTTATTGAGCAGATTATCAGGGAAAAGCCTAAGTATTATTAATTCACTCAGTGAAGAACAAAAGAATAATTATAACTATATAAAGAAAGTTTTGTTAAAGTTTTATGGAAACACAGAAGACATTTATAGAAAAAATTTTCACAACATAAGACTAGAGAGAGAAGTAGACCCTAACACCACCATATTCAATATTAGAGACAATCTTGTCAAATGGCTTGAATTAACTGAAATTGACCTAAATGATCCAAAGGCATTACTAGATATGTTTATCATAGACAAAATACTAAGAAATGCATCAGTCACTTTATTTTCATTCCTTAAAGAGAGAAAGATTAAAAATGAGCGTGAGTTAGTTGACTCAATCACAACATTCAAAGATGCTCACCCCAATGAAGAGCTAGATAATAGAAACAGCACACTAGCTTCTATTAGAAACACACCCAGTGATAGGGACAGTCAAAAACAAAACACATATCAAAACAGAAGATACCACAGCCTACCTGCCAGATGGCAAAACAATAAATTTCAGAAAAGTCATCAAAACAATTATCAGACACCATATACTAATTATTCAAACAACAACAAATGTTTCTACTGTGGCATTCCAGGTCACAAAAAATATGAGTGTAGAAAATTACATAGAGATTTAGGACATTCACAACAATACTATCAGAGAACATCACCCAACACTAGTCCAATTAGATACAACAGTACAAATAGGAGTAGACCACAATATAGAAACCAAACAAATGATCACCAGAGACACAACACCAATCAAACAAATAGTAGACACAATCAGAATACACCACATGAAACATCAGCTAGTATTTATCACACTGATGGAACACTCAAATTTTCACCAGCAATTGTAAACAATAAAGTAGTTAAATGTCTCAGAGACACTGGTTGTACAACAATAATTGTAGACAGAAAATTAGTAAATGACAACTACTACACAAATGAAAAAGCCATAGTTATCCTAACCAACAATAATAGAAAGTAATGGATAATCCAGTGTGTCCATTAATTATTGGCAATATAAAAGAACTAGGCAATAACACTAATTATCTAATAACAGAAGGGATAAGAGGAAGACATTTTAGCATGAATACAATACATAGCATATCAAGACAACATAACAAAGGAATTCTTAATAAAACATATACAGAACAAAAATCAGACAGGGCAAAACACATTTTTAGACTCAATTCAAGAAATATTCATCAACACTATAGACAGGCTGGAAAATTCAAAAATGAAATCAAAGACAGAGAAAACAAGTTTCAAGAAGAACATTACACAACTACAAATAACAATTTTATGGAAAGAGATAGACAAAGAGATAACAGATCACAATTGTCATTTTCTTCAGTGCGGAGAAATACTTAACATTCCATGTTAGCTAACCTAGCATAAAACTCTCTAATAAATCAATTATTAGCTGTTAAAAACAAAATTAAGGACAATAACACAATTTATAGGGGACATAATTACACAATAAAACATAATATTCTAATCAGAAATTTTGAGAAAGGTGAAATCAAAAAATCTCAAATATAAAAACACCACACACTCAGAAAGAAGTAAAAGCCATTTCAGGTTTGTGCAATTTTTACAGCACTTTTGTTCCAAAATTTTCTGATGTTACACTACCCTTAAGGAAACTAATAAATAAAGATAGCAAAAAACAAATAGTATGGACGGATGAATGCGAAAATACACTGAGAACAATCAAAGAAATTTTCCAAAGTGACAACATATTGTTATCACCCAATTTTAAACAGTCTTTCACTCTAGTTACAGACGCCTCCAACATTGGATTAGGAGCTTGCCTTATGCAAGAATTCAATCATAAATTAAGACCAATTACCTATCTAAGTAGAGCACTAAGCAGAACTGAAATTAACTACTCAACCATTGAAAAAGAATGCTTAGCAATTGTGTGGGCACTTACAAAACTACAGAAATATCTATTAGGCAGAAAATTTACATTACTGACTGATCACAAGCCATTAATGGCACTGAATAGAAAGAAAATAGCAAACAGTAAAATAAACAGATGGTCGTTGATACTATTAGATTATCAGTATGAGATAAGGACAATAAAAGGAAAAGACAATACAGTAGCTGATTTCCTTTCCAGACACATTGAACATGCAGACAATGACAAAGACACTGACTTAAGACACATTAGTCAGACATTCTAAATGAATATACACACATACGTTCACTCAGTTTTTTGATAAGACACTTGTACATATCAATTTTTGTAAATGAATATCAGATTTTAACCAATTGTAAATTTTCTAATGCAAAATTTAAGATTGTTACATTCATTTTGCAGTGTTTATTATTCATTAAGATGTTAATGTCACTTCACATTATCATACATAAAGATTTTAAGAGGTTGTCATTGGTGATTTTTTAATTTTTTGCCAGGGTAAATTATTCACTATTATGTGTGATATTAACAGTCAAAGGCCCTGTATTTCATAATGATGAAATGTTAATGTTGTTACACTGATTTGATTGTTAGATGTGGCATTGAAATTTTCTAAGAGACATTATCATTATTTCAACATATAATGCCAAAAATTTTGTTGCACAAAATTTTTTCAGATGGGTGGGGCATGTAACGGACTATGTTTTCACATGAAAACAGAGAGGTAGCATGAGTGAACAGTGAATTGTGTTGACCATGTATTTTGAGATGCAAATGTGAACTCCACGTTTTTGGAGAGTAAAATTATGTTTTTGTCAGAGCGGTTGTTTTGCACGCTTTGCTGGTAATAAAGTATGAGTTGACTGAGATAGTAGAGAGCTGAGCGTAGAGCAGTAGAGTCAGTAGCGTGAGAGCTGTGTGATTAGACAGTTGACAGTTTAGTGTGAGGACGTGTCTTTCTTAATGATGGAATACTATAGATATATATATGAAATTACATTCATGCAAGGATTATTTATTAATATTATCAATATAAAGTGTGTTCAATAAAGTACTGTAAGTTTAACCAGGATTCAGTATTCTTATTTGCGTGCCCGGATTATAATCCGGAAGAAAGAAGAAGCCTTAGTCGGCATCCTGAAATATCAACATAACATAAGTAACCATACTACTGACATAACCCACAGCATAAGAAATAAGCTCCCACGCCATGTCAGAGTAGATGTGTTACAGCAATAAATAACGGAGCACTTCCGGTTCTGCACATTGAGGTATATTGAGGTATGCGAAACGTCAGCTCAATTGTCTTGTCTCTATTTTCAAACCCAAATTATCTTGTCACAATATTTATATATTCAACATTTTGAGCAGGGGATGCAGCACCTTTCTATAAATATCTTTATTTACAGTTCTGTCTTAATATTCTATAAAAAGTAACAATTCATTGTAAATGAAAATCACTTGACAGTGATTTCATTGAATGATTCATTTAGAATAAAAAATGTGATTTTATTAAAAATAATAATGATTAAATGAGTGCTGTCACTCCCCAGATTGGGAATCATAAAGAAACCAATGATTCTAAAACTGGGAGAAATCATGCCTCCTCCAGGCACACCAGTTTTACAGACTAACTCAGTGAGGACAACTTTATCAGGAGAAAACATTGACTATGACACATACATGAAGAACCGAAGACCTGGATCTATAGTTCCAGAAGAGGTGAGATAAATCAGTAGGTCTCAAATATTTAGTTTACTTATAACTCAGTAGTTCTTAAACATTTGGATTACTCATCACTTACTGCTAAATATTACTAAAAATCATTGGATTTTCAAAAAATTAAAGTGATTTATTTAAAAACAATGATTTAGTTATTGGTCACTGGGACATGGTATTTAGTGAATAATTGTTGAGTATTTCCATTCCAAAGCTTTCTAAATGTTGTTCTTCTTGGATTCTTGATGTCAAACGAGTTGAGGTGCGAGTATTATTAAGTTTACATATTCTTTAATTGATATTGGGAAGAAAAAAAAAGTTTATGGAAAAAAAAACCAGACTTATTGAATTCAAATTGTTGCTCCCTAAATATTGTTAATTTAGACATAATTTTAATATTTTTGATTTATTTATGCCAATTCAAAATTTGTGTTGTTTTTTTTAAAGATAAGATAAGATTCTTTTATTGATCCAAATAAATGGAAATGTTTTTTGGACTGCCCAACAAAATATTACTACCATTAAATGTTGAAAAATCTCTAAATTGTGTTTGTCATTTAAAATTTTTGGAAGCAACTTGATTTTTAAAAAAAATATTAATTGTAATTCTCTCAAAATTCTGCATTAATTTTTTAAAAATATGTTTATATTTTGCTGACATAATATGTGACAGAACACTTTTGATAATGTATTTTGTCTGTCAGACCTTTAGGTCATTATACTCCGTAACAGCCCCATCTTTATCAGAGGAAGGCCCAGTTGTGATCAACCTTAAAAAGTTGGAGTCTGGGACCTTGTTGAGCCTTCAGGCTGATAATGTTGCCATGGAGACAGTGATGGCACAGCTGGAGGGGACAGGACTCATGCATTCTCAGAGTAAAGACAAACACTTGAAAATGAAGGAGGAAATAAGTGACGAGGTAGGGCTACAGAGATTAACACTGTTAGTTTATAAGTCCAGTGCATCTGACACAGGCAACATCAAGTACATCTGACGCAGGCAACATTAAGTTAATTATACATAAAAATCCTTTTCACAACATAATATGTTCATTGCAAAAATAAATGGGGAGCACCTACATTGCAAAGTTCATTCTAAAAATTCAAAATTAAATTAAACTTTCAAACCAGGCGTCACGTGCATATTTTCAATGTTTATGTTAATAGTCGAATGTAACAATGTATTTAAAACTAATTTGCTGCCTTTCAATTATCTTGCAACTGTTGTGGGTGAGCAAGCAAATCTTCAAATTATTTTATCCATACTCTTAAACCCCTCCCCCCCCCCAACCAAAGCTGTTAAAGTTGTTGATACAAAATTAATTCCTGGAAAGATAAATGATAAGATTTCTCAGTAAATGTCTCATTTTTTCTGCTTATAAGTTCTTTTTATGGCATCTGAAAACCCTGATGGGCAACCATCTAAAGACACAATACTTAACAACTTATTCTGAGTTATTCATTTAACTAATACCCGGTATATAAAAATATGAAGTGATTATCTAATGTTTGACTTGTTTCATCAACAATAAAAATTACGTTTGCTTTCCTGCAATGGTTTTCATATTGAACATGAGACATTCAGTGATTTAATTTTATTTCTAGTAGAAAATAATGCACCAGCCATAGTGTAACTGCCTCTCTTTGTCTTTATCAACTCCTCATTGTTCTACTGATATCATCAGAGACCCAAGCCCAGGACGATTAAGGACATCAGACAGTTTTTTGGCCCTGTAGTCCCAGTTCACGATCCCAGTGATACAGAGGAATGGGACACGGCGAAGACTGGGTTTAGGCTGACTGGTAAGGAAATGTGGTTAGTGAAAGATTGAAAAGCTTCAGTTGTAGGCATATCATTTAGTGTGTGGTTGGTGTTAGCAGTTGATTATTTTATCACTGAAAACCCCTTGGTTTCCGTGGTTGGTGTTAGCAGTTGATTATTTTATCACTGAAAACCTCTTGGTTTCCGTGGTTGGTGTTAGCAGTTGATTATTTTATCCCTGAAAACCCCTTGGTTTCCAATGAAATCTAAAAGAAATTGCAAACAAGTCACCTAAACATCTAAATAATAATTACAAACTAATTAATCATTATTTTTTTCAATGGCCTCTTAAATATTATTCGGTGACTTACTTCATTCGGAAATATTTCAAACAATTATTATGATATTCATAATCATCATAGCCTTGATTAATAAATGAATACATTTTTATCTAAAACAACTTTTTGGTTCTGGTGCCATTTATGAAAATTGAGTTTGATACCTAATTCATGCTCCTTTGCTCTGAAATAACACAGGTCGAAAGCCTAAATTCGTTATAGCTGATGCAACCGCTGAAATGATACTGAGTCGTAAAGCTGCAGGGCAAATGGTACGAGATGCAGAGACGGACAGAATGACAAAAGAGTTGATCAAACCAAAGGTACTTTTCTTGTGTATCAAATGGTACAAATGTTAGTGCAATTGTAGTGGTACCAGGGTTAGTGCAATTGTAGTTGTACTAGGATTATTACATTTTGAGTTGTGCCAGGATTATTACAATTTTAGTTGTAGCAGGATTTTTACACTTGTAATTGTAGCACGATTATTACATTTGTAATTGTAGCATGATTATTACATTTGTAATTGTAGCAGGATTATTACAATTGTAGTTGTAGCAGGATTATTACAATTATAGTTGTATCAGGTTTTTTACAATTGTACTTTCAGCAGGATTATTACAACTGTAGTTGTAGCAGGATTATTACAACTGTAGTTGTAGCAGGATTATTACAACTGTAGTTGTAGCAGGATTATTACAACTGTAGTTGTAGCAGGATTATTACAACTGTAGTTGTAGCAGGATTATTACAACTGCAGTTGTAGCAGGATTATTACAACTGCAGTTGTAGCAGGATTATTACAACTGCAGTTGTAGCAGGATTATTACAACTGCAGTTGTAGCAGGATTATTACAACTGTAGTTGTAGCAGGATTATTACAACTGCAGTTGTAGCAGGATTATTACAACTGCAGTTGTAGCAGGATTATTACAACTGCAGTTGTAGCAGGATTATTACAACTGCAGTTGTAGCAGGATTATTACAACTGCAGTTGTAGCAGGATTATTACAACTGCAGTTGTAGCAGGATTATTACAACTGCAGTTGTAGCAGGATTATTACAACTGCAGTTGTAGCAGGATTATTACAACTGCAGTTGTAGCAGGATTATTACAACTGCAGTTGTAGCAGGATTATTACAACTGCAGTTGTAGCAGGATTATTACAACTGCAGTTGTAGCAGGATTATTACAACTGCAGTTGTAGCAGGATTATTACAACTGCAGTTGTAGCAGGATTATTACAACTGTAGTGGTGGCAGGTTGCTCTTACTGTACTTTTTTTTTTATGTATCCTCAAAAATGACAGTACATTTTTAGTTTTTAAATTTGTTTTATTTAACAAGACTTATATATGGCACAATTATTATTGTGTTCTAAATCAAGATAATTAATAGTTTATTTGTGAGAGATGCTTAAGAAAAATAAATGTTATTTTAAGTACTATGCAACCATATTGTTAAGCTTCACCTATTTTAATACAAATATTTTATGATATTGTGATAGATTTTGTGAATGCGGCTAAAGTAATTTTCTTATTTTCAGCATTGTAATATTTATTTATGTCATTAAATATTCTAGCAATAAATAATAATTATATGAAATGTCATCAATCATTAGTTAATATTATGACATCAATCATTAGTCAATACTTATGTCAGGAATCATTATGTGATCAATTGTTAAACATTATTTATTTCAGAGATCAATTTGAAAAAATTATGTTATCAATCATTAATCAACGTTTAAATCATTAATGAATACTCAGTAATATAACAATAACATTTGAGATGTGTTATTATGTTTGCAGGTCAAAGTTCGGCCTTACAGTTCTCTAACCAATGAGCAGAGACTATTCAACAGGGCACAGGGTACTATGGCACTGTCCTGCTTGATGGCTGTCCACAAGGCCTACAAAGTAAGTACACATCTCAATACTGGGTACTATTCACCAGGGCACAGGGTACTATGGCACTGTTCTGCTTGATGGCTGTCCACAATGCCTACAAAGTACACATCTCATTACCGGGTACTATTCACCAGGGCACAGGGTACTATGGCACTGTTCTGCTTGATGGCTGTCCACAATGCCTACAAAGTACACATCTCATTACCGGGTACTATTCACCAGGGCACCGGGTACTATGGCACTGTTCTGCTTGATGGCTGTTCATAAGACATACATAGTATTTTAAAATCTCAATACTATTAACATTGGGATAACGCCACATGTTCTGATAAAAATTTAGCCAATGCCCATAACAGATTGGCAACTGGTTAGCGTTGTTTGCCCCAACCAATTTTTCATTCGGGAAAATGTGGGGAGGGGAAGATCTCTTGATTGCGCCAGCCACAACAATTAAAACTTTAATTTTTAATTTGTTTTTTGCTGCCTCTAAGATTGCATGATTAATCCTACGCGTGTTGGACTGCAATAAAGCTGTGATTGTTGAGACACAAATAATTTGTGTCAATAAAACAATAAAGGTCAAAGTCTAAGCTTTTACTTTTATATTGGTAGCGCAGAATACAAATGCAAATGTTTTTTTGTTGCACTGACGAAGGCATTTGCCGTAACTTTTCCATTTGTATTCTGGGTAACCATTATGAAAGTTTAACCTTTGACTTTTATTGTCTTATTTTACACAAATTTTTTGTGTCTCTAAGATCACACTTGATTTTGTCAAAAAATCCTGAGGTGCCACTGCAATTTAGGGCGGCATATCTGTCAATTCCTAAGTTTCATCATAAGAAAGGTTTAAAAAGGTCACTATTCAACAGACTTGTAAAATTGTCCATGAAACTGAGAGCTGAATAAATCCCAATAGTTATTTTCTCTTTCATGTCTTTGCCATTAAAGACATTGGTCATTTGATTGGAGCTTTAAGGAAGAGCAAATAAACTTTTCTATCATTATGTCAGAAAACACAAAGGTAAGCAGAGATGAAATTAGTTTGGTAAATCGGAGTGATTACTTTATGTCAATTCAATGTACACTTCATCTTCAGTTCAGTGTAAACATTCCATGTTTAATGTAATCTTTTCATTGAAGTAAGCTTTGCAAGAAAACAATACTTAAAATAGCCTGCACTTGTATTTTCAAATTTTGTTTACGAGATGAAAATTTGAGTACGATCTATAATATCTGTAACTTTCTCTGTAAATATCTTTGTAAATATCTCTGTAAATATCTTTGTAAATATCTCTTCCTTTGAAGGGTTCATAATATTGTTTGTTCTGTTGTTCTTTTTTTCCATAGCAAAGAGAAAAAGCAGAAAAGTCTGCTGCAAAAATTGAGAATAATTTAGGGATGAGAGAGGAACGCCTCCGTGCTAGGGACAGAATCTACATGTATCATGAACAGCGCAGAGCTCAAATACTCAAGTCTCGGGATATAGAAAGGTCACAAATTGTGGAGCAGCTGGAAAAACGAGAGCTGCAGAGGCTCAATTCTCTTGACAAACAACAGGAATGCAAGGCAAGAACTTGGTGTGAAATGTTCAGTCTGAAAAATGAATAGTAGATAAGTTAAAGTGGCAACTTTATATTTGATAAGTTAAAGTGGCAACTTTATATTTGATTTTATAAATAGTCACATACTGTGTTTAGGTTGATAGCTAAATTTACTAAGAAGTGAAGTGGCCCATTTTAAAAGTAGCGGTGATTGAGGGTGGCCCATTAATTTTTAAATTTTCACTATTGATTTGTAGGGATTCAATCATTCTGAGCCTTAAGTTGAGCATTTTAATGTTTCCATTATGCAGTGCTACTACAACATTTACAATTATAATAATTTAAACACAATACATCTAAAGTATTTCTCTATCATAGAAAACAGCCATCAATGAACTCCTTCAGTGACAATGATGACTTAATTAGTGATTATTTAGTGATTATTTTGACTTGGTAATCGCTGGGAGGATGCTGGTAACATTGACAGAATGTAGGACAAAATAATCTTCATATCTTTAGGTCTTAACCTTAAGAGAAAGAATTCACCCTGATCAAGCTGATCGTAGATATTTGTGATGAAGAGAGTAGGATGTATTATCCAAATTTTGTTAAAATTTTCAACAGCAATTGCATGAAATGATTTCTTCAAGTGAAGGGTGTTTAGTTTGTGTGATAGTTCCAGCTTTTTTGATTAGTCTATTTCACTGGTGTTTGACGTCAGACGATGAATTCCCACATCAGGAGTTAATACTGAAGATCAGTAGGCATCCAAATGTTGCAATAAGTTACAACTTTTTTTGTTTACATCGAAATAGTACTTTGACTTTTTTATACAGCATTTGACCGTGTTCATGCTGTGTCAGCTTATTATTAATGGTGACACTTAGGTTCTTATGTGTCACTATTTGCTCTATATGCTAGTGTGTTTTTTTGTTGTGAGATCTGTGATTCTCCTTCCATTTATTTTTAAAAAGCATCTCGGTTATAAAATGAATGGAAACAAAAAAACACTATTTTTATCCTCAGTCTACTTATTTTAAGTAGCTTCTTTATCACCAGAATTTACATGGCTCATCCATTTGTTACCTTAAGCCAGGGGTCAGGAACCTATGGCATGCGAGCCAGATGTAGCTCTATTGATGGCTGCATCTGGCTCGCAGACAAATGTTCGATTATAAAAAAAAAGTCGCATTAATGGTAAGAAATACTCATTATTGATTAGCAACAGGGTAACAATGTTATTAAAAAGAATTCAGAGACATAATTATTGCATTTTTAGTGTTGAAATTACACAAAATGCACACATTTACTTGAATTTTTAGTTTTAAACATAATTTATGGCTCTCACAGAATTACTTTTCAAAATATGTGGTGTCCATGGCTCTCTCAGACAAAAAGGTTCCCGACCCCTGCCTTTAGCCAATCACATCTGCAGTCTCATATTATGATTTCATGTCTATAGTTAAGAGCACTGGCGGCTTGTTTATATCCACAACACCCCCTATTTCAACCCAAAATATATTAACGTGCAGTAATGATTTTTTTCTTCTTTCTTTCTCTCTTACATGTACATAATATTTAATACTATGATACATAATTGAGGTCAAGGGTCACCTTCATTCATTTCCTTTGTGAAAAAACTGCAAAAATGCTTGCATGGAACTGCGTGCTTCATGGTTTCGGTGACATGGTGTTTGGTTGTTCCACTCCTGTGCACATGTCAAAAGAAGAAACAGGCCAACCAACAGTTAAGAGAAGCACTATTGCTCATGCAGTTCCAATCAAGTTTTGCATCACAGTGTGGCCTATGTGGTGTACATTACTAAGTGATAAAATGTAGATGATAATTTTAATATTTATATGTAAGTTAAAAAATAAGTTCTTTTTTCAGGCTTTTAGCATTTTATATAAGTTTTCGTTCTCTGTGTGTAAGTATTTCGTTTGGCACAATATTAAAATAACGCCTTAAAATTTTCTGAAGCAGCAACCTGATTAATTCAAGTCACAAGCAGCCACCGTCATTAAAAATCATTTCATTTCTTTTAAAAAACATTTATGTATTTAATATTTTGTTATCCCAGCAACATTTTTTTTGCAATGATTCAATATTGATTTATTTTGTTTGACTGTTTAGGTCAGGAGTGCAGACATTAGCAAATTATCCAAGGCCAACCAGGCATTTATGCAGGAATTCAACTCGCAGCACACGTCAGTGTCTAATGCACTCCTGCGACATGACAGACAAGCCAAATGGGAGGACACAAGGACACACAAAAAGAACAAGGTCGCAAATGCCAAGGTGAGACATGAGACCTTCTGTCAAGTTTAAAAGCAGAAATCCATTTCCCTTTTAATTTAACAGTCCAATAAAAATATAATCTGACTGGTCACAGTTTTTGGTTTAATGGACCAAAAGACGGAAATCACAATCACCATCTATGTGCTTATGCTTGGCTAGTCAACAAGGGCAATCCTATTGATTATAAATGTGGAGCAATGCATAGATTAGAAAGACAGACGTAAATAAAAGCACCACTTAGATTAAACAATTTTACAAATTCTCATTATACAATTTTACAAACAGTTTAGTGAAAATTAATAAATTTAAATGTTAATAATGCACTTAAGCACATCATATGAGATTATAGAAGTATTGCACTTGAGCACATCATATGAGAGTATAGAAATATTGCACCTGAGCACATCATATGAGATTGTAGATTTTTTCCTGTCTAGTTTTCTATCAATACCATAATTCTTCAAAAACTTTTATTACCTTTATAAGGTCAACTCTGTAAAAAAAATTCAACCATGTAAGAATTAGTATGAGCAAAACAAATGCACAATTTTGGAAAGATCAACAATAACATATCACTCTCAGTTGTGTGGGCTGTATAAATATACTCTTGTATACGTGTAGTGTGGGATATATAAATATACTCTTGTATAGGTGTAGTGTGGGCTGTATAAATATACTCTTGTATACGTGTAGTGTGGGATATATAAATATACTCTTGTATAGGTGTAGTGTGGGCTGTATAAATATACTCTTGTATACGTGTAGTGTGGGATATATAAATATACTCTTGTATAGGTGTAGTGTGGGCTGTATAAATATACTCTTGTATACGTGTAGTGTGGGATATATAAATATACTCTTGTATAGGTGTAGTGTGGGCTGTATAAATATACTCTTTTTATAGGTGTAGTGTGGGCTGTATAAATATACTCTTGAGTTTTCTTACATCTTTATTATTTTAATTTAAAATTTAAATCTATTTATAACTGTATTTGGTATCTCTCCAGCTTACTGAAATTGAGCAGCTAGATGTGGTTAAGAATTACCTGGAGCACAGACAGCTCATGAGGCAGACGGAGACAGCTGTGGCCAGGGCTGCGCTCCATGCCAAGATGCTGGCCGAGGCCAATGAGCGCATCATGGATGCTCGCAACAGAGTGGCGCAACAAAGGGCCTGCCAGGCTACCATTCAGGCTCTTTACCCTGTGCTGCCTAGCACAATCCCTCTGTCTAGCTCAGCACCTGCGGGAATGTCCAGGTGGCAGGGTTCTACCACAATGTCAGAAGGCTCAAGGCATAATCATACTCTTCACAATTTTCAATCAATTGCCTTGAATTAGTCTGGTATTATTTCAACCCCACAGCATAAAATCACATAGTGAAAAATTAAGCCATAGTCATGGATATATTTGTATTGTAATTTATCCCTCCCCCATCACCACCCCATTTCAGTCTTGGAAAAAAGCAGTGTAAAACATCCAACCCTGGATATTTTTTTTAACTTAATTGGTTTTAACAATCTCATTATTCTTTGCTCACTGGAACTAGTATAGACTGTAACTGTAACTAAATCCAAGAAATTTTATCAAGCCTGTTATGAGCAGAATTCATAGAGCATAATGTGAGAGTGAGAGAAAAGTAGATTTAATGGTTTATCATCCTGTGATTTAGTTCATTTTAAACCAAATGAGGTTTATAAACTAATACATCATGATGTCATATCAAGTTGGAACCACAAATCTTTTTTAAATAAATGTATTTTGAGGACAATTAAAACTGACAAATGGTATCCTATAATTTTGAGAGGGTGTTTATCGCCCAGCTGAAGTTGTTTCAAAGGTCTTTTAAAAAATATATATATATTTTAATTTGTTTAAATGTGTATATGTTGTTTAACAAAGAAATCAATCTTGGAGCTCAAAAGCATAGAATTAAAAGAACATCCTTTTTTTTTTCTTAACTGTTTTGTTTTTTTTTTAAATAAAAAGATGACCTTAAATAACCCTGACATAAACTAAGCACTCTCCAACATTGAAAGTTTTGAGGAGATTTCATGAACATATTGAAATTAAAACAAAAATCTAGTTAAAGTCTGAAATTATTTTTATTCTTTAATCACACAAATTGTTCACCCTTTTTTGTACATATAATTTATTAAAATTACAAAAAAATAAATTGCTTTAATTGTAAACAATACATTCCAACAAAAAACAATATTTTGGTGCTTTTTTACAATTGAAACTAGTTGGTAAATTATTAATATTATTTCTTGGGTGCAAGAATAAAAATTTGGCCTAAAACGTTATCCATCTTAATATAAATAATATTAGTTACCAGAGTATTGTATTATAAGATAATGTTAACATTGCTTTGTGTAGTATTAAGTAAATAAGAAGTATTTATTGGCATACTAAATGTATTCATTTTTATGCAGTGGATTGTTAAAACAATATTAATAAAATTTTAAGAGGAATGTAGTGGTGATTACATGTATATAAAAATAACTGAATGATTATACATAGCTCTGCCCAAATTATGTGGAGTGCACAGTTAAAATAAAAACCAAGTTTAATAAATTTTATCTGGATCATAATTTATTCATCACATTCCAGGTACTTCTAGTGTCATTTGTAGGCCTACTCTAAGATATGTTTAACTTTATGTCACATATATTCCAAGATATTAATACATTTTATCAAGTCAGTTTCAAATACATTAATACTGCAGGGTCTTATTACAGATAGATATATGTTCTAATTTTGAATTTACTATCTTTTAGTAAAAGAGTAAAAAGATGGTGAATCAATTTGTTCATCTCACTATAAATATTTCAAATCAATCATTTGTTTATAAGTTTGTATTGCTCTTGAACGTTATCGGAAATCTGTTTACAATATTGAGTTTTATATTTTTTCACATTTCTATTTCAAACTGAATGTTTACATTTTAAAATTAATGCATACACAGTTTTACACAAGGGTCTCCTTGAGTTTAGGCCATGATATATTAGAAGGTCACAAGAAGGCTGCAGTAAATAGTTGTTACTATGGGTAACTTTAAATTACCCAGCATTTATTTTGTTTAACATTTCTGTTATAAATTGCTTTACCCAGATATACTAAAAATGTTGCCCTAGTAAATATCAAGAGATACATAAGCTTTTTAATGGATATGATAGTTAGTTTTTCAACGATAACGAATAAATTAGCATTACTCATGCTATAAATAAATAAAACAAATGCTTCCTTTTAAAATCATAACTTTTAGAACAACATTACAATAAGTCTGGAGTTGATCCTCCCAAATAAGTCTTCAGATCCTCAACAGTAGATTTGAAAAGCTTGCATGGGATTGTTTCTCGTTTTAATCTTTTGTAAGCTTCGTATCTGTGGCATCCTCCAAAAGAATAATAGTAGTCTCCACCTTTTCGACCGGTGATCCATAGCACTTCAATGGGTGGGACATTCTCCCTGGTCTCTACGGACTGAATAAATTCAGAATGATTTAGTTACTAAGTATGGCACTTCTCTCATTTCAAAATTTTGAATCTTAATTTTCTTCAGAGTTACAATTGGATATTTCATAAAATATGCCCAATTCACCTTTCTATTGTGAATGACCTGCTTTTCAGAGATGAGAACTAATGATTTAAATTTAATCGTAGATAATACACAAAGTTTAGTTACTTTTACTCATTTGAATGAGTTCATGACACATTTAAATACTAATATCCAAAATACTGACAGTGCATTGTTGAAAAAGAATCTAGGAAAAAGAATGAAACTCAGAGGTGACCATGGAAATCTCAAAAAATTACATTTGAAAGTACCAACTTAATTTATTATTAAATGTAACATTTTGGGAATTATGCAATGCTGTTGAGCAAACACTTTATTGAAATATATTTTATACAAATTTCACTAAACATGCTTACACAACTGATAAATGTTTAGCACGAATCCAAAAATTTTTTAGAGATTAAAATCCCTATAAGACTAAGAATGAGATGTATTGTGTGCCAAACGAAAAAGTGTTCCAGCATAAACCAGAGATTACCATTAAAATATAACCCAAAAAGTTATAATATAAAATACTAAAATTGTATCAACCATATAAAATTTATAGAAATTTGATAAAAAGAACTAACTTCAATAGTGTTCATCAATGATGCTACTTTTTCCTCATCCAATATGGATGGAATGGGTCGTATAAGGACACGCATAGGAACTTCATGGACTTCTGTAATGTGTGCACCATGTACAGTTAAATGGTCTGACAGGATCTTGCAAGGTGATTCCTTCGTATCTTTTATCTGTGTCTGGTCTTCTGGTTGAGACATGACTTCAGTTTCAGATTGAAGTGTTTTGTCTAAGACTAAGCTAGTTTCACAACCCTTAAAATTATGAGAATGAGGACAAGCAGGGCCTGAAGATGTTCTTTTTTTACAAAAAAATCCTGAAGTGAAAGTTGAAGGAGACTGCTTATCATTAAATCTAATAAAACTTGAAGAAGGGCATGGCTTTGACTTTGGTTCAAAATTTAACAGATGGCTAATGCCACTAATAATGGGCCTGTTAGTGTTGGTTGAATATCCGCCTGTGAAATGGTGCTCAATAATTTGTTTATTTTCAGGAACAGATGAAAGACAAAGTTTTAAATGTAAAATCGAAGTTAAACTTAACCATTTCAATATGACTACAAAAACATAATTTGTGTTCAGTATTGTAGAGCTTGAAAACGTTAGATTAAATTTAGGCTTCCGACTGCTGGCAGTGTCAGTGGTCCGAGTGGTGTGGAATCCTAGACTTGGTCGTAAACCAACGACGGAAACGGCACACAAAGATAATTGAAATCGGGATACATACGTATATCCTAGATAATGCTGCGTCATTTAAATATTCGTCATTGATTTAATTTCGGATACAGTGAATGTGTGTAATGAGTAGCTTTGCCCTTTCTAAAAAAAAAAAAAGGATAGGTTTTGTTTTGTTTAAACGGCGAAACTTCTTTGCAATGTCATTGTTTATCGTGACAGTTTATTTTAACTTCGTCGCAAATGAGGGAGTTGATTGGCGAGTTGTCGGACCTCGTTAGAGGAATTCAATAAAGAATTAAAATATTATTTTACAATATTGTAAGCAACTTTTCATTTAAATGAAATTAAATCTATATGGCCTTTCCGTATGGATACCAATGTATAAACAATTTCCTCATCCTTCTCTGCAAATTTTATAAAATGGGATATAATCCACGAAAGTTATGAAATGAAAATTAATTTCTAATAGATTAATAAGACTAAGTTCACTAAGACTCAGAAGACAAATGAAGTAATTTCTTTAATATTTTACTTGTACCATTTTAAATCTTGAAATCGGATGGCTTAAAATGATTTTTTTTAAAAGCAAGCATTGACATAAATAAAATGTAAAAATTACTTGAAGAAAATGTAATGTTCAAAATGATAAAAAGCGATTTCGAAAAAAAAACAACAACAACTAGGCACTAGGCCTAGGCTGATTTAATCAATAATTTTAAAAGGTCAATATGTGTAAAAATATATAAATAGAAAAATAACGATCAAGCTGTTTTATCTCGGATAATCAATGAAACTCTTTTGCAACACTTCCGTTGGTCGTTGGCTCTTTTTATTACTTGGATAATGTGTTTGAGTGAATGTGCATGTCTGCACAATATAGGCCTACGGCCCACGAGCTCCCAGCAATCACTTTGCGGCACCTTAAGTCTAAGACTTTTGTGAAAGTGAATATTTGACGCGCAAAAATATATAATTAAAAATGATATTGATATTTTCTAGTTTATGCCCATAAAATTATGGAAGAAATATATGATCTTTGAAAATTTAAGTTCCATTTCTAAAAAAAAAAAAATGTATATTTGTTGAATCAAATATTTTCCTAATCAACGAAATATTCTTTATTTTATTGTGGCTCGCATCAGTTATTTCACCACCAATATTCAATTTGGCACTCATCACATTTGAGTAGCACAGGCATGAAATTTTGGGGGAGTGGAAGAAGGGCGGGACAAGTGAATTAGACTAGACTCTAACATGTAAATGTAATTAATTTTAGAAATGTTGGTCCCAGGCTATTTTACCATGTAATTTTAGACGAATTAACATATATGACATGGTGGCACAAAATTGTTGGCATTTCAATACATTCTTGTCCCATTTTTATTATTACAGACATTCTTTCTACTTCTACTCTCAAACCCGTCAAGTTTGTAGCACCGAACTTTGTTGCCACACGTGACCCTCTCGACAAGATCGATTGCGTCTGGCTCCTGCTGACCTGTAAAGTTGCATCTAGAGTGGAGTGGTGAGAGATGTGGGGGGGGGGGAAGCACACAAAGTATGTTGGTGTTGTTGCTTTTTAATCAACCCCCCACCCCATTCACTTCCAATAACTGTCGGCCCCGACTATGGGATGTTGAGATGCGGTGAGGGAAGGGCTGGGGGCGGTGCATTTCGGCAATTAGTAGCCTCGGATGAACCAATGGCAAGTGACCACGGGTGTAAAACGCTGCAGTAATTTAACGGAACGAAGTATGGAGAATCTGGAGAAAAAAAACATAGGACGCAAAAAACAAACAACAACAACAACAAAAAACAAAACGTTTTGGCAAGAAGCCTTCACCAGCGAACAAACTATAATTAAAAGCAGAACTATATAATCCCTTAGCTGTAAGGCAGTATCCAAGGGGGAAGCAAGACATTAAGTGCTACATGCATGCTACATTCAAATCCTTTGGCTTCAAACAGTGCCTTACTACCCTCCTGTACAGACTTTCTTTGGCTTCAAACAGTGCCTTACTACCCTCCTGTACAGACTTTCTTTGGCTTCAAACAGTGCCTTACTACCCTCCTGTACAGACTTTCTTTGGCTTCATTGAGTGCCTTAATATCCTTCTGCAAAGACTTTCTTTTCAAAATGCATATCAAGAAATTTAAAATAATTGTGTAGATTACTTTTCTTTCGTTTAAACTCGTTTTTAGATAATTTTCTTTTTTAATTTTTAAAAATGTTCTACATCACTTATTATAATGACTTAATTAGTGATCATTTAGTTTGTAATAGCTGGGGGACCATGCTGGTAAAGTCGCATAAACATGGGGAAAAAATAATTTGTATATCATTCGGTCCTAACTTGAATAGAAAGAATTCGCCCTAATCAAATAGGGTTCAGCTTAAGGTCGTTCACCAGGAAAAGATGAAATGAGAGTACAAATATGACGCCTTTATCTATATAACAATAGTACCACCTGTTATACCAATGGCATCTGAAATGATATGCTTTGAATAATGTTTAATTGTAAACTAAATCACTTTACAGCGTCTAACTGAAAGTTAACTTTCGGCTTAATTTCGGTTTCGGCCGAAAGAGAAAAGTTAACTTTCGGGGTTTTTTTCGGTTTCGGCCGAAATTGACTTAGACTTTCGGCCATCCAGCCGAAAGTGACTGAGGTTTTCGGTCATCTAATTCTCAACGAAAGCGATATTTAACAACAAACTAAGTGAAATTTAAGAACAAAATAAACGATCTTTAAGAACAAATTAAGCGATCTTTAAGAATAAACTAAACGATATTTAAAAAAAAATAAAGTGATCTTTAAAAACAAATTAAGCGATCTTTAAGAACAAATTAAGCGCTTTTTGAGAACAAACTAAACGATATTTAACAACAAACTAAGCGACATTTAAGAACAAACTTAACGATCTTAAAGAACAATCTAAGCGAACTTTGAGAACAATCTAAGCGATCTTTAATAAATAAAACTAAATGATCTTAAAGAACAAAATAAGCGATTTTCAATAACGAACTAAATGACCTTTAAGAACAAAACAAATGATCTATAATAGTAAACTAAATGATTTATAAGAATAAACTAAGCGATATTTAACTGAAAACTAAATGTTCTTTAGGAACAAACTACAAGATCTTTAAGAACAAACTAATCGATCTTAAGGAACAAAATCAAGTATCTATAAGAACAAACTAAGCGATCTTTATGAAAAACTAAGCGATCTTCAACAAAAAAATTAGCGATCTTTAAGAACAAAATAACTGATTTTTAATAACAAACTAAATGATCTTTAAGAACAAACTAAGCGATATTTAAGAACAAAATCAATGATCTTTAAGAACAAACTTAGCGATCTTTATGAACAAACTAAACGATCTTTCAGAAAAATTTAGATATCTTTTTTGAACAAACTAAATGATTTTTAATAACAAACTAAAAGATTTTTAAACAAAAACTAACCGATCTTTAAGAACAAATGAAGCGATCATTAACAAAAAACTGAACGATCTTTAACAACAAACTAAGCGATCTTTAAGAACAAAATAAATGATCTTTAACAACAAGATGTGATATTGGATGTTTATTTATAAATATTCACGATTATCTCATTCTTATAAAAAGAATGCAAATATTTATACTTTCCCCCATCATTTTCAATGTATGCTGAATGTATGCTGGAACGAATTGCAAAATATCTAAATATTTCATTTTTGGCTTCGGCTTCGGTTTCGGCCGAAAGTCATTTTTAACTTTCGGCTTTTTTCGGTTTCGGCCGAAAGTCATTTTTAAACTTTCGGTCTATTTTCGGTTTCGGCCGAAAGTCGTTTTAAACTTTCGGCCTATTTTCGGCTTCGGCCGAAATCAGAAAATCACTTTCGGTCAGTCTCTAATTAAGACACTGCCTAATGTAAGTCATGAACAGATATCTTCCATTACGAACATCCAACAATCGCATTCTACACACACAGAAACACAAAGGCGTATCTGCTTATACTTACAGGGTGTCCAAATGGGTCGTTTGAACAATCGCGCACTTTAGGGATGCGAGGTGAACAAATGCGCAATTTAGGGATGCGAGGTGAACAAAGGCGCAATTTAGGGATGCGAGGTGAACAAAGGCGCACTTTAGGGATGTGAGGTGAACAAAGGCGCAATTTAGGGATGCGAGGTGAACAAATGCGCACTTTAGGGATGCGAGGTGAACAAAGGCGCAATTTAGGGATGCGAGGTGAACAAATGCGCACTTTAGGGATGCGAGGTGAACAAATGCGCAATTTAGGGATGCGAGGTGAACAAATGCGCACTTTAGGGATGCGAGGTGAACAAAGGCGCACTTTAGGGATGCGAGGTGAACAAAGGCGCAATTTAGGGATGCGAGGTGAACAAATGCGCACTTTAGGGATGCGAGGTAAACAAATGCGCACTTTAGGGATGCGAGGTGAACAAAGGCGCAATTTAGGGATGCGAGGTGAACAAATGGGCACTTTAGGGATGCGAGGTTGACCAAGGGGCACTTTAGGGGTGCGAGGTGGACAAAGGGGGCCTTAAGGGGATGCGAGGTGAACAAATGCGCACTTTAGGGATGCGATGTGAACAAAGGCGCACTTTAGGGATGTGAGGTGAACAAAGGCGCAATTTAGGGATGCGAGGTGAACAAATGCGCACTTTAGGGATGCGAGGTGAACAAAGGCGCACTTTAGGGATGCGAGGTGAACAAATGCGCACTTTAGGGATGCGAGGTGAACAAATGCGCACTTTAGGGATGCGAGGTGAACAAATGCGCACTTTAGGGATGCGAGGTAAACAAATGCGCACTTTGGGGATGCGAGGTGAACAAATGCGCACTTTAGGACGTTAGGGATGTGAGGTGCACGTATGCGAACTTTAGGGATGCGAGGTGAACAAATGCGCACTTTAGGGATGCGAGGTAAACAAATGCGCACTTTAGGGATGCGAGGTGAACAAATGCGCACTTTAGGGATGCGAGGTAAACAAATGCGCACTTTGGGGATGCGAGGTGAACAAATGCGCACTTTAGGGATGCGAGGTGAACAAAGGTGCACTTTAGGGATGCGAGGTGAACAAAGGTGCACTTAAGGGGTTGCGAGGTGAACAAATGCGCACTTTAGGGATGCGATGTGAACAAAGGCGCACTTTAGGGATGCGATTAAAACTTTGAATGTCAAA